GGGTGGACGGCGCTGAGTTTCTGCTGGGGATCCTTGGCCCTGTGACCCGGGTTGACGAGATGTCCACCGAAGGCGACCTGGCCCGGATACCTGGCGCTCATGTCCCGATAAGCTTGGACGATGTCGTCGCCTCGCTCCCGAATGTCTTTCTGTGAAATCATGCGGCCACCCCAGAAAGCACCGAGGCCGGAGGCGTGGTGTGTCGTCTCCCACATGGCGTTGTACAAATCACCAAACTTGGAGAACGTCTGGATCGGAGTCGTTGTGAAGGTGACGTTGGCAGCGCGGAGTTGGTCGAGGAGGGGATCGACGACCGCCTTCAACTCTGCTGCCGTCATGTTGGGCGCAACGAAAGGCTGCACCGTAAGTGCACCCTCGGACATCGAATACCACACGTACATCCCCTTCTCGGTGTACGAAGGGGCCATGGTGTACCACAGGCGTACTCCCTCCCAGAACCTGTCGCCCTCGTCGGTGATGTGCAGACTCATCCCGCTGACTGAAACGGTTGGGTATGTTTTGAAGGTCGCCGAGGTGACGATGCCAAAGGTGCCCATTCCACCACCCTTCAGGGCCCAGAAGAGATCGCTGTTTGTCTTGTCATCTGCGGTGACAATCCGGCCGTTTGCGAGGACAACCTCGAATGATACAGCGTGATCCGATCCTATAGTTCAGATTTTTTAGTTGACTTGCTGAGGTTCGTGGGCTGGACAGGTTGCTTACCGACACCGTAGATACCAGATAGTGGTCCCTGTCCGCCGCCCTGGACGAAGCCTCCCGCCATGCCGACTGTCTAGACTCACGGTTAGATCCGGGGGCAAAATCAAGCCATAGCCTGAACCTACCGGACACTCGCCACCAAGCACGTCAAGGTTACGAGCCCAAGCCTTGGGATAGACGTCCTGGAACATCACACCCGCGCCAATCTTGACCGTACCGCCGGTGTGACCATCGGGAAGCTTCTTGCTGTTAAACTCGATCGAGTTCAAACGATGCGTGTTGATGACCAGGGATCCCCAACCTGCTGTGGTAAGTACTTATTCAATAAAGAGCGAGCAACCTTACCTGTCGATCGCCCCATAAAACAGTGACCGGTATTTCGAATGATGATGCGCAAGTTGTTCTTCCGTGCAAACTCAACACCGCTGGCAATGTCGCTTGCTCTCTCGGCGAGGATGGTGTAAACCGACAAGAAACCCTCCAGGCACACGTTGGAACACCCAGCTGGGGATCCTGTTCCTGGTGCCGTCGTCGGGTCGCACGTGTTATTGCTCCAGACGGGCGTCATCGGGATATTCGCCTGGTCAGCCCTGTGAAACGCGGTCAGCAACAGCTAGGGGTTGCTATGCAGTTAAAACCGTGGACTCACATCCAGGTTGAGTTGGACCATTGCGCCGAGACGACGGCACATTGCGCAGGGTCCGCGGTGGGAATTCCGTTGAAGCTGGGATAGCACGCGGCACCGGGAGGGATAGCCTTCACGAGACGACCGCCGACGGTCCGGTTCAGGCTCGACCACTCCGGGTCACTCGGCCAGCACTTGTCGCCGGGATAACACTTGCATTTGGTCGACGGTGGTGCCGGGTTGCGGGCAAGGGGTTGGTATGCGTTGCACAGCCCGGCCAGGGCGACCGCCAGACTTGTCACCGCTGCTGTCTTCATCGTCAAACGAGCGGGATGAATCCGGGCAAGAGTAGAGGAACTAAAGCAGAGATCCCACGAGGCGGCGCTGGGAGGTTTCCAGTCATTTATAGTACCATCCGCCAAGGTGCCTGCCCCGAGCTATGCCCTACCTGATGCTACCTCAGACCAGAATGCATGGTCCCCCAAGACCTTAGGCCCGGACTGAATCAGCGATGACAAGACGGCCACTGGCCGAGTGAGAATATTCTATTCGGAGACCAGAAACCGGGAAACCACTGCGGGTCGAGCGGGCTCGTCCGATCATGCATGAGCGGGCAGGTGGGTGGGAAATTGCCGAGCCAAATTTTCATCCTTGGGACCCAATTCGCTCCTTGCATACGACCCCGTGGGTCATTGGCAGCTGACATTTGTGGAACGTAGGATTAAGGTAAGGAATGAGAATACTACGTCGGGGCGTTGGCGGTGCAGCTTTATTGCCTTATTTGTAGACGAGGGCGGGTGATGCCGCCAAGTGCTGCATGAAATCCAACGGGTACGGTGACGCTGACGAAGCGGATGTCTCCGTGAGTCCGTTGGTGTATCCGAAAACGAAAAGGCTGTAGGATTCTTGCATGGCATATCTCATCCTGAGCTAGGAAGTCTAAGGGTGTTGCAAGCATCCTGCATTCTAAGGTCGCTGATGACATGGGCTACTGGGTTAAGCAGCAACTGCTTGGAGGAGGGAATTGGTAATCCACCTCTTTATGTGTACGTAGCTCGAGTGGAAACCGCGAAACGTGTTAGAGAAGCCAAGACCGGGGCTATGGGTGGGATTCTGGGTGAGTTAAATACCTAGGTACGTAGGAGTGAGATGCCGACAACAGTTCCTACCTAGGTACCTTCATGTAGCAACCTGTCAGACATAAAATCAAAATCGTGTTAGCAAAAAAATCATCATTAATAGTATCTCTATGTGTGTGCCGGTGGTAGATACAGCGGCTATCGAACAAAGTCTTTCCATCATCTGTCACCGTCTCCAGCCCCATATCGGCTGTGGCTGATGGTAAGCAGGCGGGGGCTGGTAGGGGACCGGCGGCCCGTTCACATAGTAGACCGGACCGTTGTGGACTGTGCCCTGGTTACCGTATGCCGGGGGTTTGTAGTCGGCTGCCGGAGAGTCAGGCCGGCGACCGCGTCTCCTCCTCTGCCTTACCGCGACCCACGCACCGACAATCCCCGCAACTGCGGATACACTCCCGATCACGATGCCGATAATATCTGCTGTTTTGAGGCCGCCGTCTTTTCCGAGGTGTTAGTAACATGTGAGAACTTGACCGCCTGGAAGGACATACTGTTATCAGAAGAACCATCAGATCCCGATGAGCTACCACCGGCTGACGAGCCAGACCCCGTCCCCGAGGACGATCCGCCGCTGTTTCCACTCTTTGTAGATGGGACCGGGGCTGCCCCGCCCTGGGTTGGCTGCGTCTGAGACCCGCCCGAGCTGGAGGATGTCGGATCGGTCGTGGTGTCGGCCGAACCGGGGGGGTTCTTGGTCAGGGTGACGCCGACGTATGAGCAGTAGAGTATCTCGTTATCGCGCACAGCTACACCGTTACGCATCCCATATTAGTAGGTATCCTCGCCGAGTAGGCAGGGAACAAAAAGGGGCATTTGTTGGAGAGCACATACACTGGAAACCCCTCCCACACTCGGACTGAAGACAACTGACGACACTGGGATCGTCGTATGCATAGCAACCGCACGCCAAGGTCGTGCACTTGGTCGCCGCCGCTATTTGCGGTTTGCACGTGTCCTTGGAGACATGTCAGTTCCATCATCCTCACCATCGAATGAATCATCCACGGCGTGGTTGCAGAACAGGGTCTGGTTGCACATCAGATGATCGTACCTCGCAGGGCTGGGTCTGAGCGATTGTGTGAACGACAAAAATCGCCGCCAAAAGTAGCCTCCTCGCTAACAGCAACGAAGACGTCGAGGAGTACATCGTCGCGACTTCATAAACGAGGGGCAAAAAGTCGCGACGAGATGACGTTGTCGTGGTGGAATGATGGCGACGAGCAGAGTGCGGCTCAACAGAGCCAAGAGAAATGGGCTTGAACTCTCTTTTTATGAGTCTGAGCCAAAGGCCCAGGGGTCCCTGGCGGTCTGTGTTGTCGTTTCCAGAGCGCCAAACCGTTTCAGGGAGCCACCTTGACCATTTTGGGGGTTAGCTGGCAATATTTCGCAGGGGTCGGCCACCTTGTGCTCCAATGACGGTGGGAGACGCGCTGGTGGCGTTGCATTCTGTATCAGACCCGGTCGTTGCGGCTGAAGAAAAGGGGTGGGGTTGGCCGGTGCAGGTGACCTCCGATGGGGGGCATGGCCTCTTCCGGTCTCCGACAAATGCCACGGGCCCTTGATAAAGGGCCCAGACGGTTTGCAAGTCCTTTCTACCTAGGTACGCCTGAAATCACGCATCGTGGCGTAGTTATAAACGACGAGCCTTGTTCGAGACTATATCTCCTCTCTGCTTTTACCAGGCGTCAAGGCGGTGTCTGATTCTATAGGTAGGTACCCATCTACGGACTTGGAGTCTTCTTGCCAGTGAGCCTCTCGAGTTGGTCCAGAAATGCCTGCAGGTCACGGTGGTGAAGCGAGAATGTCCTTGAGACCTTCAGCCTGTGTGGCCGGGCTAGGTGCAAAAATTGGATTCCCATGATGGGCTCCAACGAACCGTCGGGGTCCTTCATCCCCGGATGCTGCTTCATCTCGTAGGATGACGTGATGGTAAACCGATCGCCGGGGACGATTTTGCCGATATGGGCACTACACTGGGATATGGAGGATACGTGCAAGATGTGCTCGCCAGTGCCGTGATCATGATGATGCCCGTCTCTTTCCTCGTGAGAAACAAATCCCTCGGTCTCGCCGTAGCCGGGGATGCTTTCGCATACCAACTTCCCGTTCATCGTTTCGGGCTTAAAGCAACTGTGAAATATCTGACGTTGTCTTTTGCTCGTCTCTTAGGTTGATAGTGGACTCCTGTCATCGGTACGGGTTTAGGGAGCGTGGTGTGTACTGTGTAGAGCCTGGCACCAAGGTAATGCCAGAACAACAAGGATGGACGCGTGGGGTGTCTGCCAGCGGCACTCGGAGGTATTAGGCCTATCAACAACATCCCAAGATGGGCGGGTAGCGCAGTGGTCAGGGTGTTCCTGGGCGTTTCAGCGTTGCTTTCTTCCCTAGGTACCTCTCTTCAACGTTCAGCGAAAGACCTGGGTTCGAATCCCAGCCCGCCCAAGCATTTCTTTTTAGCTATGTCAGCATCAGGTAACGGGGTATTTAGTCTCAAACTGCATTACCGTATTCAGTGAGGGCGGGTAGCGTAGTGGTCAGCGCATTCCTAATCGTTTCAGCGTTTGTTTGTTTTCTTGATTATTACTTTCTCGGCGTTTAGCGAAAGACCTGGGTTCGAGTCCCAGCCCGCCCAAGCTGTTCTTTTTTGCTACGTCACAGCGTCAGGTAACGTGGGTATATAGTCTTAATCTCCAGTACCCTACTCAGTAAAAACTCCAAAGGGCGGGTAGCGCAGTGGTCAGCGTGTTCCTGAGCGTTTCAGCGTTATTTTCTTCCCTAATAAGTACCTCTCTTCAGCGTTTAGTGAAAGACCTGGGTTCGAATCCCAGCCCGCCCAAGCTCTTTTTTTTTACAATGTCAGAATTAGGTAACACTAGGCAGGAGTACCCAGACAAGATGGAAGGCACGCATGGACCCAGGCCCTGTATTTAGCCAGCTCTTAGGGTCCATTTTCCTCCTCTACAAAACAAACATTATTACATGCACTTTAGAGGGCTGCCGCCTCTACAGTTAAGTCTTAAGCACTATCAACCATACAGCTTTAAAACCAATTCTATGGCATGCCAGACCAAATAATATGGAAATTTGGTATATATTGTCGGATTCTGGGTCTTTTGCCAAAAAATAAATTATATATCAATTAGTAGTACTAGCCTAACCGGGGTATTATTTCTTCTATTAATTTATTTTTACTTAACGTAGATTATAAAGTAGGAAAATAAGATAAATAATTTTATTACGTAAATAGTAATATTTTTTTATAAGATTTAGGTAGTTTCTAAAAAACTCTTTAAATATTTTAAACTAATTTATAAAAATTATTTCTTTAAGTAAAACTTTGCTAAGATATATAAAGATAAAATTTATCTAAAAAACGAAATATTTTTTTACTATTATTAATATTAATATAATTTACTAAAAGGCTAAATATACTATAAAAGTAAAAATCTTATTATAATTTAATCCTTTACGCTATATAAATTTATACGTTATAATCTAAGCTTTATAATAAGTAGTTACGTTTAAGCTATTAGGTTTTTTACGTAATATTTACTTTATAATTAGTAATTTAAGTATTTTAACGTTTATACGCTTTACTTTTTTATATGTAATAAATTTAAAGATTTTACGCATTAAAACGTTAGCAATTTCCTTATAGATTTTCTTCCGCTAGTTTAGCTACTTTTTACTATATTTAATATTATTAAAAGTATTTATTATATAGCTAAAACAAATATAAAACTCTTAATCCTATAGGAAAATGTTAAGTTATTTTAAAATATATTAAAATTAAGTGTTTTTTTTATAGGTTTATATTTATAAGTAAAAATTTAAATCTTCTTTTAAATTATTATTAGAATTTATTTTATTAAAATTATTGTTTATTACGCTATTAACCTACTGGTTGATTAAGATTATTATAAAGGTTTTTAATATAAAGATATTATATTTTTCCCTTTTGGCGTAATAATACGAGTATAGTTTTCCCCAAATTATAAAAAGTATATTCATTACGCCGTAATCTAATTATATTATATTGGAATCCGTAAAGGGTATATTTATTATACCGTAATTAAACTATATTACGTTAAAATATATAAAAAGTATACTAATTGCGTTAATTTACCGGGTTTTTTTTCTAAAGTAATAGTAAACGTATTTTAGAATAAAGTAGATAATTTTATTAATATTAACCTTAATCTCCCTTTAATTGCGAAAATCTTTATAAAAGATGATATAAGGGGTAATTATTACCTTTAACTTATTAATAACCTAAATTTTATATATATAATAATTATTATATTTAAGTAAAATACCCTTTTAATCGCGTAACGCTATTTTACAAAATATTTTACGCTTTTACGCCTTAATATAAATAATTATTTTGTTACTAATAATTTAATAGTACTTATAAGTAAATTAATTATTTTTATTAGGGTAAATATAATTATAATAAGTTTAATATAGAGTTTTGTTAGTAACGGTAATGGTAAAGGTAATATTAGCGATTTTAACGTTTACCTTTAAAAAAAAGTTTTAAAATACTTTTAGGATTTATATTTATATTTTTATTTACTTATTAATTACTTAAATAACGTTAATTTTATATTTTAAAACTTTATTTATGTATTAATAATATAAAGCGGAAAGTATAAGTTTTGTACCTTTTTATTTATATTTGTAATTAAGGCCTTTGTTTTTTCCAAATTTTCTATTACCGTTAAGCTAGATTTTTTTTTTTTTTTTTTTGTTTTTAGCTTTATTTTGTTAATTTATAATATAATTACGTTAATAATATATTTTTTCTCTTTTAAAAAGGTGATTTTTTACTTATGTATAATATTATTTATAAGGAGCGTATAATACTTTTAACCGTTAATTAATTTTAGTTTAATTATTTTACAATTAATATATATATTTTATTTAAAAATAATCTTTTACTATTATAGGTTTTTAAAGGGGATATAAAATTTAAAACCAAAATCGTAAGCTTTATAAAATATTACCGTAAACTTTTTAAAGTTAAAAGAAATTTCTATAGTTATTTTAATAATTTTATATAAATATTTAAAGCTAAAGTAGTTAAATTTATAATATTAAATTTATTATTATTTTAATTTAATTAATATAATTTTTTATAAGGTAAGAATTTAACGCTTTATAATACTATAAATATAAAAAAAGAAGCCTTTAGCGTTAATATTAATTATTATTAGTATTTTTCCTTTAAATATTATAATATTATTATCCTAAAGGCTTTTACTTACGTAATATAAATACTTACCATTAAAAATATTAATTAAAAATATTAAAATAAAAACGGTATAAACGTACTTTATTTAGTTCTTTTACCCTTACGGTCTAATAATTAAGGCTCTTACTAGTTTAATATATATAGGGTAGATTATTTCTCTTTTTATAATAATAGAAAGTTACTTTAAAATTTACGTAAACTTTCCAAAAATATATTACTTTTTATTATTAACTATATATAAATTTACGTTTATATTAAATAATTAGTAATTTTAATATACTTATATTATAATATTATTAAAGTTATTATATATATTAATAATAGTAAAGGTAAAATTTTCCCTTATAGTAAAATCGTTACTAGTTAGCTATTAATTATTAAAGTTCTTATTTTACGTTTTTAAACCTAATTATATTTAATAATACTAGTAATTAGGTTTTAAGTATAAGTTTACGATAAATTAGTTGTAAATAGTAAAAATCTCCGAGATAATTTTAAGGTTAATATGGGAATTATATTAGTAAAATTTCCCTATAAATATAGTCAAAGCTAAAATTAAATTTTTACTAGTTTAATATAATATTAATAATTTAAAGGTAAAATTAAAATTATTTAAAGGTTTTTTTAGGTTTTAATACTTTTATTTTTAATAGCTTAGTTTATTATAGTTTTTATAATTTCCTTTTCTAATAATTAAATTATTTTTACGTTTATTATTAGGTTTTAGTATTTTTTTAATTTTACGCTTATTTTTATTATTTTAAATAACTTTTACGTTATAGGTTTTTTTGTTACTTTTAATTAATAGCTTAATATAAATTTTATTAAGGAAGTTTGTTTAAATATACGTAAGTGTATATTATTTTAACTTATTACGTAATTTAATATATATTTATACCGTTTAGTTTAATAATTTATTTTTAATATTTATAATAAAAATTGCTCTAATTAATTTTTTGGGAATAGGTATATTAACTTTTTAAAGCTACTTTATCGTATTTTTAAATTATTTAACGTAGCTTTAACTATTTCCGTTTATATAGGTTATATTAGTTAAACTTTGTATAAGGTAAACTAAATAATAAGTTTAACGCAGTAATAAATAAATTTGAAATTGTTAAGAGATTAATAGCCGTTTGTAAAGTTAAAGTAGGCGAAATATAGGGATATTATAATTTAGATAAGCTATAAGGTAAGTTTAATATTGTTTTTATTATTAAGTTTTTACTTTTTATTTTATTTATTAGTAATTATAAAGTTTTTAATAATGTTATACTAGGTTTTAAAGTTTTTTTTACCTTTAAGTTATATAGTTTTAGGAATTTTAAAAGGCTTTTAAATAATAAAAAAACCTATATTTTTAAAAGCGATTGGGGATGTGTTTTAAGCTGTAAATTTGGCCGAATTAGTGTTTAGGAGGAGTTTAAACAATAAATTAGATTTTAAAATAGTAATTTTAGTAAAATTGATATTTTTTTCTTTTTTCGATAGTTTAGTAACTAAGTTATTATTAATTATTATAATATTAGTAAGGTTTTATTTTATTGGGTTGTTGTTTGGGATATTAAATTAAGTGAACCTTTACTATTACTTTTTTACTTTTTTATTAAGTATATATTGGGTTTTATATAAAATAGGGCGTATTAGGTTTATTTTCTTTTTAAACTTTATTATATTATTATTATTTACTAGTTTAGTAGTGAAAGGGTAAGGTTTGTAAAGATATTTAGCTATTGCTAGTAACTGATTTTTTTTGCGATAAAGATCTTTTTAGTTAATTAAATTGGGCTTATAACCTATTAAATTTTGGGTTTTTTATTAGGGAATAGATTATGTGTTAATTAGTGGTATTAGCTTAATTAGGGTATTAGTTGGGCTAAATTTATTTATATTTATTTTATTTTTTTATTTTTAAATATTTTTATCTTTTTAATTAAGTCCTTTTTAACTTAGTTATATATTTACTTGATTTAGTCGCCTGTAAGTAAATAAAGAGCTTTAAGGTGTCTTGTATTACTAGCGGCCCTTGGGCCTTTGCCCATCAGGGTGCCTGCATCTTCATATATATATTTATCGAGATGGGGTGTTATGCTTGAATGCATCACGCAGGGCGGTACGCATTTCCCCCTCTCATATTCTCAGACCCAAGTCACGGCCCTGGCTGGGGGTCGTGCTGGCATATATCCACAGTTAGGATTCTGAGGTGCTGACCTTAGAATTCTGGCAATTCTTTTGGAAGGTTGGCTTAATGGGTGTGGGTTTATTGCCCAACCGTCACAATTCTAAGGTCAAACGCCCTGGGTTCGAGCCCTAGTAGTGTCAACCAACCTACCAACGTACCCAACTTCCGGCGTAGAAAAAGCGATCAGCCCGGGCGA